GCAAGCAAGCAAGCAAAAAAAGAAAAGAAAGAAAGAACCGTAGACAACCATCATGAGCTTTACTAAAACAAAATGACTGATACTATTTATGTTCAACTTACGCATCCATTATCTTTTCCACTTCCATCTTGGTCAGTCCGAGCGAACTGACATCCATAGCTCGAGCAAAGTTCACCCTGCTCATTCTTCCAGTTCTCAGTTTATCGTAATCTTTCATCCATTCAYATACTCTTATCCTTTCTTTCATGACTTTACACTTGATCTTGTGCATGATGAAGTTCAAGTTGTCTTCACCCAGGTCGGGCATGGTCTTGTTGTTAACCCTCTCTATCTCTTCCAGTCGTTTCACGTACATGTGTTGGGGTTTGTGTGAGGGCTGAAGCCTTTCAAGGAATTCCGTGTAGTTAAAGCCAATGTCGTTGGCATATCTTCCCTCTATTAGCTATATGTGACATCAGTATCAATGATAACAGTAAGTTTTTTATTRCTCATTATTAGACGCAACATGATTGGCATATATATTGTAGTCGTGATATGATCAACTCATAGTGCTACATATTTTAATTTGTAGCAAAAAAATGTGATGGTGAATATACTGTCTTCTCTACATTCATACAGAGTTTTTATCAACTGGTTATTGAGATTTATTCACGTAAAATCAATCAGTTGCTTGATTGCTATGTTCTTGTACGTTGCGATGGTCCCACGATTCRATGCATGGGTACCATATGTGAGTTGAATGAAGCCAGAACTTCTTTTATCTCTTCAAAAGGGTTTTTTCTCTGGGTCTTTGTGTTTTTTTATCCATGTAAAATCAACCAGTCATCTGACTGTTTTGTTCCTGTATGTTTGATGGTTTCAAGCGATGGTCCCGCGATTGCATGCATGGGTACCATATGTAAGTTGAACAACGCCAGAGCTTCGTCTATCCCTTCCAGAGGGTTTTTCTCTGGGTCTTTGTGTTTTTTATCCATATCAATTCAACCAATCATTTGACTGTTTTGTTCTTGTATGTTTGCTTGTTTTAAGCGGATGGTTCCTCAATTGAATGCATATGTGAGAGGTTTATGCCAGAGGTTTTCTCCCTTGCCAGAAGAGTGTTTATCWGAATTGGTTGTCATCCAAATATAATCAACTAGTCGATTGACTGTTTTATGTTTGTACAAATATTCGAACGCAGTTCAGTGGAAATGTGTGGAGAATAAAAATCACAGCAAAACTAGCTGGTAAATATATTGATCATTTGGATTGGAGGCGCAAACTATTGTAAATCATGCGTTCAGTATAAGAATACTTAACGTTGGTATTGTGCTTTGCGTCAATTTGGAAAAAAAAGCAAAAAGGCATCTTTTTCAATCTGTGACAAAATAAAGTTATTGTCCGAATTCCAAACATTCCTCAAAACCAATGCAAATAATCAGATATTCACGAATTTTTGTGTGAAACTTTCTTCGAACGCAAAGACTGAGCTGAAAGACCCGRTGGAACAACTAATTCTAGATTCAAGTTCAATGTAAACTATGAATTGRTCTTATTACCTTCATTTCATGTTCATCGTTGGTGAGACCCAGATTGAGCATGCACTGGCGGGCTTGAGACTTAGTCACGTGACCATTATTGTGCCTAAAAAAGAACACTCGTCGTATTAATAAAAGAGAAGACTAATAAAACTATACACTAAAAGATCAAATGGTCAACCTTTATACTCACTTGTCAAAATCTTGGAAAATGGGCTTGCAYAAGATACGGCGTTCTTGTATCTTACTGCGCATGCGCAGCATAATGCTATCTAGGACCTGATCCTGTTCAATGGTTGCTAGGTTGGTTCGAGCTCCAGGCCTTGGCATTTGAAAGGTTTCCATGGGAGATACTTCATAGGCTGGTACTTTTTCGAGGCCACGTCTTGTAAACACTAAATTAAATATATGTTACAATTTTAATTTTCGAAATTCACAAACAGAATAAATGTTATAGTACTCAGTCTTGAAATAGAAGTTTTTTTTACTTAAAAAGGTTTTTTTTACTTGAAAAGGTTTTTTTTTACTTGAAAAGGTAGTTTACTTAAAAATATTAAGGAGAATTATCCGATAGAAAAGGGTTTTTGGAATCTTTTTTTGGTTGTTGCACACATCGTTATTTAGTCGGGTCAAATCAGGTCATTAAATTATCAGTAAAGCAATGGGATAGGATGGGATGGGATGGGATGGGATGGGATGGGACGGGACGGGATGGGACTGTGGTGTGGTGTGGTGTGGTGTGGTGTGGTGGGGTGTGGTGGGGTGTGGTGTGGTGTGGTGTGGCGTGGCGTCGTATGGTATTATATGGTGCGGTGCTGTGCGGTGTGGTGTAATGTAATAATAATAACGTGGTATCGTGTCATGTCATATTGGTCGTGGCCTTTCATGTCGCGTCGTTTTGTATCATGTCAAGACATATCATGTCGTGGTTTTATGTCATGCTATGTCAAACAATATAAAACTGAATGAATCTGCCAGCGCGTTGGCTTGATTTCTTACCGATCTCAACGTCTGTGAGAAACTTAGTCCACATAACATTTCCTGGTCTTTTTACGTCGGCATATTGCCGTGCTAAAACTTGGAACTGAGCTTCAGTTAGGTTAGTCTGGCCAAGTGAGTTTAGACACTGTCTAAACTGAGTAACACTGATAGAGCCATGACGAAGGGGATCAAAGTCCTGGAAAAATTCTTCCACCTAAGAATAATCAAATGAATTAAAAAATGACATGTGAGTGTCGAGTTCGAATCCAGGCCATACAGTTGTTTATAATCAAAGGCCCGAAATGTTTTGAGGAATATCTGCAGGCCAAAAAATCCAATTGTATTATTTATATCCCATCTAGAAGGCCAGTTGGAATGAAATATTACGAGTGTGCCCTTGTAAAAATCATTCTCGGTAGAGGCAACACAGGTCCTATTCAATACCAATGGCCTAAACTTTGGTAAGAACAAAACCACATTCKTTGGGTGTATGTTACGTCATAGCCGTCTTGTTAGATCAACCAACATTGCGGCTGTTTCATTGTTATTTATATTTCAAGGGATTTTGAGTCATGTGGTTGCACCTCAAGACTAAGGCATTATTAACAAAAGATGACTGAATTGCTGGTTTTCATAACCGCCATCTTGTTTGAACTTAACGAAACATTAGCAACATGACCATCCACGCATGTGTTTTGTTACTTCATTCTCTTATGAATTATTGACAACACAAAAATCAGTTAGACCAGAATGAAAGACCAGTGACTGAAACCATCCTCACTTACCCTTAGCCTGTTAACAAGCACGTGATGTCTTATTCGACCAATCAGATCCTGGGGATCAACGCTGTTCAAGTCCACTATAGGTTCCTTTGGTGCACCCGTACTTTCGCTGGTGGAAAAATTGATTTCAACGATAGGTTAAAAAGTGCAGTTGTAAAGGATAAGGGCATAGCATATGCATATGCATATATATATATATATATGCATATGCATATATGCATATGCATATGCTGCATAGCGGCTCTTGTGAGGGGGGACTGGGTGTGAAGCAAGAGGAGGAAGATTGGGGATGACAAACTGTGTGTCTGTTTCAGTGCCTGACTTTCATCAGCCTAGAGGTTGTTAAGAGTATCAAAGAAACTCCTTTGCAAATAAAAAAGTATTTATAATGTATTATGGTTGGGTCACAATATCGTGTGCTGTGATTGGCSCAAAACCAGTCATCAGGTCCGTACCGTATCCGCGTCGTTTCACAGACGTAAGACTTAATATATTCTAATTCGTTCCCCCACTCAACCGAATATCAAACATTTATCTTTTCTTTGAAACTAGCAGCGTAGAGCGTAGGACACGAGTGACCAACAATATCCCGCTAATGAACTGTACCTCCATGATACACCAAACACATACCACCGCACTCCATGCGCTTGATACGTAACCCATAATAAATACATTAATCTGAACAGAAATGGGTGTGGTGGTTTGTAGTGAGGTATACCTTACCTATTGTGCTCTGATTTATCGGACAGTGTCATAGAAGTACCAGTATATTCTAAATAACAAGAACATCTATTAGGATT